AATTGTACTGCACAGTTTTCTTATGGTCCATTCTAACATTGAACTTTTCAGACCAATGGAATAGACCCATCACTTATTTATATTTGAAATTTTATTTATCACTTATATATATATATATATTTCTGCATATATATATCTATTGATTGTAGGAACATGGCAGATTGTATTGGATGTGTTGTGTCTGCTCGAAATGGTTTCATCCTGAGCATTGTGTTGGTGAAAACTCCAAAAATGAACCTGACGATGATATTTGTTTGGAATGTGTAAGTTTCTTTTGCGTTTTTTTTTATGTTAACATAAATAGGTTCTGAAACATTTGTATAAAAGTCCACTTCTATAAGTTTTGTAAGGATCAGAAAATGTAACTCTTGTCAAATAATCTAAACTTGAAATTGACCAAAATTGTTGCAAACTGCCGAAATCCCAAGTTGATTATGTAGCTATATACTTTTTATACGCCCACATAGAAATGTGGACGTATATTGCTGTCACCCCTGTCCGTTGGTCTGTTGGTCCGTCAACATTTCTTGTGAACACAATAGAGACTACAGTGTTTTATCTAATTTTAATGAAATTTGGTGTGATCATTTATATTGATGAGATCTTGTTCGAGTTTGAATTTGACAATCTTTCGATGAATGGTTTTTGAATTATTGCCCTTGACTAAGGAAAAACCTGTCAAAATTTGTTTGTGAACATAAAAGAGACTACAGTTTTTACTGATTTTAATGAAATTTGGAGTGATCAATAATATTGATGAGATCTTGTTCGAGTTCGAATTTGACGATCTTACGATGAACGGTTTTTGAGTAATTGCCCTGGACTTCGGAATAACACGTCAAAATTTGTTTGTGAACACAATAGAGAGTACAGTTTTCATCTGATTTGAATAAAATTTGGTACCGTATATATATATATTTATAATGATGAAATCTTCGTCAAAATTGAATTTGACAATTTTTCGATCAACGGAATTTGAGTTATTGCCCATGGCTTGGTAAAAACTCATCAAAATTTGTTGGTGATAGAGGTGACAGTTTATGTCAGAATTTTATTAAATAATGTATCTTGCACAAATCAGATTTTTGGTATGATCTTTAAAAAAATTATTTGAAAACTAAAGAAGTTACAACAATTTAATACTGTATTTTAATATTTGAACATAAAGCAATTGTGAAATAATAGAGATTGTAGCCTACAATATACATCCACATAAAGAGATTTTAAAAGGGAAATTCAAATACAAAATATGTTAACAATTAAATTGACCTTTATATTTTATTTGACATTTGTGTTTTTAGGATTTTCTTTATAGGAAGAGTCCAAAACATAGATGTAAAACCAGGTCATTAAGAGAATTTGCTAAATTGGATGAGCATGTGAGTATATCATTTGCTTCAGAAGTGAAGTGCTATCAGCATGAAGAAGCAGAAACTACCAGCAACACGACTAATATGTCTAATTTTCAACTCTACTTACACATTATATGTATTAAGTCATGATCACTCATTATGAAAAGTTTCTTATATCTCACAGCATAAAATTAGCAATCTGAAGGACAAAATTAGTCACTTTGACATCTTTTTTTCTTAAATTGCAGTCAATCCTTCATACAGTTAAAGTTTTAAAAGGAAATACTTGGAACTGTTTTTGTAATCTAATAAGGTAATATGTTTGGTTTGATCAATATGCACTAAAAGATACTATCTTCATCATAG